GGCTATTTCAATTTTCACTATTTTTCTATGCTATCCTAGCCAGTATTTACGAAGCATAGAGTCCATTTTGTTAGCAATTTTGAATTACGTCCTTTTACGTTGGACGTTTACCAATCAACGGTGACCGCTGTATTCGTTTATTGCTAGTGCGTTTTAAACCTTAAACATATGGGCTAGAGTTGTTTTTTGCTTAGGTTATTTGTTACGTGATATTATAGGGGGGTCAAGGCGTTAGTAGCGTATTGTGGGTTCGATTCCCAGGTGTACAGGGCGTCGGGACACGTACGCGAACACTTAAAGACGGCCACTTCTAAGATGAAGGGAGGTCCGTCATAAAAATTGGACCGAAAGAAAACATTGAAGTGGACTTAGTATTGAGTAGAATTTATAGAGAAACAACCGGAAATAAATAGCAAAATAGTGTATTTCTACCCTTAATGCCATTAAATTAAAGGGAAAATGTATGATTTATATTACTTTTGTTTTTTATTAATAACCTTATTGTTTCTAGTACATAGCGCTACTATGCATTAGGTCTTGGGTTTGTATAGATAGGACACATCTGTAATACCTATCTATGATTACATCATCATATTCCAAAGTTAATCTTATATTCGAGCGCAAAATATATACACCATTATGTAATATAATATATAAAACCTTAATAATTTATAAAACCTTTAATATTTATAAAACCTTATTTCAATATTTTAATACAATATGTAGAATATATAAGAAGAGATATGTACAAGGTACATACCACAAAATAGATATATATTTACAGCTAGGGATTCGCCCTTGCTTCGCTGGGGTTCGTCCCTGGGTGGTTATTTAAATTGACATAACTTTTTTTATTTATGAACCCATTCAAATAAAACAGTTAAATTAGTAAAAACCGCACCCAATTCGGTTCAGCCATTTCTGAGATAAGCGCGCACAACTCACAGATAAAGAGATAAAAAGACTAAAAATCATTGTTTCGGATTTTATTGCGTTAACAAAGACCTTCATTAATAGTACCTATTTCTCAAATATCTTCCATTTACAAACAATAATTAGTTGTATAATAATTAAATGTATTCATTAATAAATAGTACCTGGGCGTGGAGTTTTTAGCCGAAAGTACAAATTTCTTTTTAAAAGTAAAAGCTTGACCGGGTTCCGAGTACGCACACCTATGATTGTCAATCTTGTGCCTTGGCCGTTTGACCACGATGCTTATGCCCGAGCGTGCGAAATTATCGAACATAATATTTTACCTGGAATAAAGCGAAAAAAAACCGCATGAACACTCGAAAACACGTTTTCCCAGACATAAGACTAATCTAGATCGATTTTTCGCCCCAGAAAACTTCCACACACCACAGCGAAATCGTTAGAGCCGTTTCCGAGATAGTCGGTATAAATAAATAAATATACAAGAATTGCTTGTGTAAAGGTATCATATTAGTTGTAAAAAACTTTTTTGCGAATAGAATAAATTATTAGTTAATTAGTTTTTTTGAAACGTATATGGTAAGGTAAGGAAAAAGGGAATACTATACATTCATAAGTTATCAAATCCAAAATCGCCGAACATATTACTTAATAGCCAGGGGTGCTGTACCCTCGGTCACTGGAAAGTTATTTTAAACAATTTAATGCCGCGTTGGGTCAAAACTGACCCTCGAGAAACATTAAATCAAGCTCAAAGGGCCGGTTGTTCTATACTTTAACCGTTTTATATGCTTATCGGGAAATTTAATCTGATATCTTTTAAACGGTATAGATTTTCTTTAAATTTTAAAGCTATTAATCCCCAAGGCTCAGTTATTTTGCGATAAAACGTAGGTATATAGCAATATAGTTTTAGAGAAAATAAAATAAACTTGCGTTATGTTTTAACGTTTAGTATAGATTTCTCAGAGATGAGATATTTTCCCGCAGTAATAAGTATCCTATATGTTGACCCAGATAACCAGCTATCATCATACAAAATTTTATCAAAATTTGTCCAGTGGGTTTCTCGTGATGCGGTCACAGACAGACAGACAAAAATTCTAAAAACTATAGATTTGGCCTGTATATAATAGATAATAATGACTATTTCAATAAGACTTTCCAATAAATTTTTATATACAGGCTCGACTCAGTCAGAATTTTATTATATGTATAGATGTCAAATATTATTTAAGATTTGAAAATATCCATAAATATTTTTTTACGTAGATCTTTATAAAACACTACGTAATATTATTTTGTTACAATACTTCTTTATTTATATATTTAAATAAAAAAAGTATCAATAGTCTAAGCATTGTATAACTCATCGTGCAATTACGCTGTTCAAATTTCGTAAACACGAAAACATTTCGTAGTAACGGTAACAAACATTTTCGAATGACCTTACTCAGGTGACAATAAACTCGAGTCTCAAGGGAAGGCAGTAATCGAGCTCGATCGTAAACTAAACCTATCAGAGGATCGCTTACTCCGCACCTTCGGTTTAGCACCCCTGCCCGTAAACTAAGACAGTCTTAACTGAGCTACTTTAACCTTTTATTGTTATGAGAATATTTTATATTTAAATTTAAAGTAAAAAATAATTTGTTGATGCTATTTATAGTCCTACTAATATTATAAATGCGAAATTTTGCAAGGACGTATGGATGTCTGGGTGTATAGATGTATGAATGGTTGTTACTCTTTCATGCAAAAAGTACTGAATGGATTTTAATAAAACTTTACAATAATATAGCTCATACATCAGAATAACACATTTTTATCCCGGAAAACTGTATGTTTCCCATGGGATATATTTGTTTTTGTTTTTCTAGAATCGAACACAAGCGAAGCGAAGGTGAACCGCTAACCATTTTATAAATTACTAGAATTTAATGAAATTTCAAAATAAAAGTTTTAATTAAACTTTTATTGAAAATTGAAGAATATGAAAAATAAGCAGGTACCTATATGTACGTAGTTAACTTTAAAAAAACAGGTAGGTATATCTATGGCATCACATACATATTAAAATCATAAAAATCATATATTATTATTAATATTGATATATTTTAAAATAAATATACAGGGCCGCATTCGTCTAGAAACTAAATCATTGAGAAGTAAGGAAGGAGGAAAATTTTCACTTATAAAATATTATTGGGATACGTTTGTTCTTTTATTACAACAGATCGATGCTTCTCGAAGATATTAGTCTTGTATAAAAAATCATTAGAGATATATCACCTACATTTATCTAAGCAAAAACGCTATAAAACACAACTACAAAATGACAATAATAATTTGCATGTAAATGCGTAGACCGACTTGTAATTAATGCGACATCTCTTGAATAAAGATATAGTGAGGCAAACTCTAATCTGATTAATGACATAAGAATATGTTAAAGTTTATATTTCTAAAGCTTTTTAAATGAGAAATGATGATAAGATGCTTATAAATACGCTACTCTGTATTTTTTGGCAACTAGAAGATTCTCTTAGACTACTTCTGTAGTTTTTGAATTTTTAGTATTAAACTACTGCCAAATATATTTTTACACTAATTTAATTTAGTGTGTAAGTTGTAGCCTTATAAATTATATGGTATAAAGTACCTAAAATAATAAAATCGCGATAAGTCTAAATAAAACCTTTTTAAAGAAAATCAAATTTTAAACAGTTTATTTTTTTTTTTGTGGCTGAAGTCTTCTAATACTCTAAGGTTTTTTTAAATTGAAGGATTGCTCTATCCAATACAAAAAAAAATCATCAAAATTAAACTCGTCAGTGGAAAGTTTTGCGTGGTCGGGGGCATTGTACCTACATTTTTAATCTGTCTATAAAAATTTGCCTATATGTTAACTTGAGAATAATCCTTTAACAAGTATAATTTATACATAAAATCTGTTTCGCCATACCTTTTCAAAGTTGTAGTCGGTTAAGAGTTTTGTTAGAAAAATAAGGTTAGAACCGTATTTTTTTGTTTAAATATTACCAACTCAGTATAAATACCTGTAAATAAATGAATGTTTCTCAAAAAGTGAATTGAATTATTATGCGAAGTAATTATATATTTAAAATAATATATATATATATATAAAACATTATAGGTACTTATATGGTAATGAAATAATCTCATTACACATTAAAAGAACGTACGAGTATAAACAAGTAATTTATTACACATGACGTAATTAACAGAATTACAGTTTTATTAAATAATGCTATATGTCTCGATATTTAAATGTATTTTTTTTAATATTGATTAATGATTTAAATAGTCAAATCAGCTAGTTTATCATTCGATTTGTTTGTGAAAATGACTATTGACTACATATAATTATATGCAGTCTATTCTATTAATTTTTGTCTAAAGACGCCTTTATGTTTCTTTATTATTATAGACTTTGATGATAAAAGTTTGAAAAATATAAAAGTAGCTTTTTGATATCTTAACAAATTACTAAATTAAAAAAACCAATATGAATAAAATCTATCTTAAATTTCAAATGAAATGAAACTAAAATTTCAATGTAAAATAAATTACTGTATTTGCTATACAAATTACGTCTTTAAGTTTAATTCCCTGCGTAGAGTTATCGTCTGCCTGTATCTTATTAAAGCAAACTCATTAGCGACCCCGCCCGTGGGAGGGGCGTACAGAAACACCCACCTGTCTGTTCATACGATTTTTAACGATCTTTTGTAGAGTGCATGCACACTCTGATATATTTTATGGTTCATATTAGATACTTTTATTAATAAATACATTTCCATATATATTAAATATTTATTTTTTATCTGTAAAAGTCTTATATTATAAAGAGGAAATATTTAAAATCAATTCAAGCAAAGTTTTATACAAAATAGTAATCTATAACATAATTATATGTTTAATTGTATTTGGAAGTTTCACGAAGAAATACTATTTCAAAATACTTAATGATTAAAATATGGTTAAAAATTTTGATAAATATAAAAGAATCTTACAGCTAACTTTAATTTATTTCTTTACAGCATCCTAGAGTTGAGGAAAGAGAAGAGCCGGGACGCGGCAAGATCACGTCGAGGCAAAGAAAATTATGAGTTCTATGAACTAGCCAAGATGCTGCCTCTACCCGCCGCCATCACTAGTCAGCTGGATAAGGCTTCCATCATAAGGCTGACGATAAGCTACCTCAAGTTACGAGACTTCTCGGGACATGGGGATCCGCCGTGGAGTCGCGATACACCACCCACTAGCAAAGCTTTGAAAGGTAAGGCCATATTTTATAGTTCAATTTGATTTTTTCAATTTTTTGCAATATACTTATATTCAATGGGAATCACTGGAACTTTGTACTAAGAATAAATACTATATATCTTACTAGCATTGCCCGCTGCTCCGCCCGCGTTCAGATGACCGAAAACCAAATTCTTAGGTTTTACATATTAGTATATACTCTTACAATGCAGTTTTGTATTTTTCTCAGAAATAAGATTTTTCCTGCGGTAAAAAGTATCCTATATGTTGACCCGGATAATCAGCTATCACCATACCAAATTTCATCAAAATCTGTCCAGTGGTTTTTCTGTTATGCGGTTACAGACAGACAAAAATTCTAAAAACTATAGATTCGGACTGTGTATCGATAATAATGTCTATTTCAATAAGATTTTCCAGAAAATATTTAATTTACACATTCGACTCAGTTAGAATTTTATTATAAGTATGTATAGATAAGTCATTCTCTACCACTGTCCGGCCAATTAGGTTTCTGTATAAAACTAAGGGTATCTTATATGTATAAAGTTTTGGTATAATTTTACAAAGAATTATTATTATTTTACTGAAATTAGTAGAACTAGTATTATTAATTTATTAACATTTTGAATCGATATTGTAACGAAGAGTGTACCTATAAGTTTTGTTCTACAGAGGTCCAAGTTTTATTCCTGCTTGGTTTATTTGATTTGAATTTGTTAAATAAATATGCCTTAGTTAAATATAGCATCGTTTGATCGATGATGCCGTTGAGAATCATTTCTTGAAATTCATATTTGATACATCCATAGAGGAATATCTATTCAATAAAAAATATAATGAAATCGGTTTATAATAATTGCTGAAGACACCTACTACGCTAACCGAAGCTTTTTTATTGAAATTAAAGATACTACATGAATTAAGTACATACATTTAAATCTATACATATTATAAAAGTGCAACTAAACCGAATCTGTACATTAAATGTTTTTTTGGAAAATCTTATTGAAATAAACATTATTATCGATACAGAGGCCGAATCTATAGTTTTTAGAATTTTTGTCTGTCTGTCTGTCTGTCTGTTACCGCATCACAAGAAAACTACTGGAAGAATTTTAATGAAATTTGGTATAATGATAGCTGGTTATCCAGGTCAGCATATAGGATATTTTTTACCACGAGAAAATATCTCATTTCTGAGAAAAAATACAAAAACTGCAATGTAAGAGTATACTAATATGTATAACCTAAGAATTTGGTTTGTGGTCATCTGAACGCGGGCGGAGCCGCGGGCAATGCTAGTGGAAAATAAATTCATAAGCATAAAAAAGCTCAATATTGTATTCAATGCGCAAAATAGACAGCCCCAACTATGCAAAATGACTGAGTGGCTTTAAAATAACTCGGGAGGGTTCGCAAATCTGATTTGCCTTCGTCAAGTCATTGTCGGCGCTAACCGTATTACCTACAGACAGCTTAACAAGATTTCGATTGTACAGAAACTTGTGTATTTAATGGTGATTGTATTATTTTAAACCTTACATTAATTTATCTTTATGCCACCTTTTATATTAAAAATTGTCTGTTTATGATAGTCTCATACGTACTTGAGTTTAAAATATAAACAGAATGTCTACTATGTTTTGAATAAAACGGAAATATCTGATTTTTTAACAGGAGTGCTGCAGCGATTTTCATAATGTCAGAAACCAATAATCAAAATAAAACCGCAAAAAAGTTTTATTGCAAAAATGTTTAATAATCACATAAATATAAGTGATTAGAATATTATATTACTTTACAAATCTAACATTAGTTACGAAAAAACTACACATTTTCCGGAACTGATTATTATGAATGAAACTAATATACATGAATAGATGAATACCTACAGCAGATAAAAATTCTCAATCTCCCTTCTAATAAAATAAAACAACAATAGAAAACTATAATAAGTGATCTATATAACTATATAATTAAAAAAAAAAACTTGCGTGTGTAGGTACTTATGCACACACGTAAGAAGTTATACTACGTTGGCGTAATAAAACAAAAATAACTAAAGTTTTCATCTCGTTTGTCACAACTCTCTGTTTGTAAAAGGAATGCAGCTAACTTCATCATGTTGCTGTCAGCTAACTTCATCATGTTGCGTTTTGGCTGTCGGTGTGCGCGCGCATCGTTAACATTTCACTCTCATATTTTATCCAAACGTGCCAAAATAAGTATAACTTAAAAAAAACACATTTCCTCAAAAATAATCGCATTTCCTAAACAAAACATTGCATCGTGCGTTTGAAATATTTCACTAAACAAAAAATAGAGTCGCTGACTAAATCACAGCTATTGTCAAGTGAAGCGTGCACGCAAATAAAGACGCCTCGGGGACTCTGATTCACCACAATACTTCAAATAAATAAATTACCTATACGCAATCGGAAAAAATACAACCGTTTGTTTTACTGTGCAAACGTGACGCGTGCGGTTGATTCTCGTATACGTTATTGTTGGTTTGGCTATTTATAATATAATGAAATACTAGAATTTTTTGCGGTTTTACTTAAGATATTTTTTTTATAATTTAACATTTTTCAATAGATGGGAATTCTTTTTTTTTTTTTATTCAGATGGTTGATGATTTTTTTGACATTTTATGTTGCTCTTGTGATATTTATAGGAAAAATTTGATATGGTTGCTATGAGTTCTATTCAGGGTTCATTTAAAAGTTTAAGTTTAATTTTATAGAAGTTATTTTTTTATACTATTTTTTATTAGGTATATATTAAATTTGACATATTAAATATACATTATATATGTATGTAGTTACGAACGTGAGAAGATAATACAAAATTTTATTAAATAAAAAACTAAACTTAAGGTACAAAACAACACTACATCTCACTAAATAAAAAAAGATTTTTTTTCCTAAAAAGTAATAGTAAAATATAAAAAACTTAAAAAACTCAACTCAACGGTACATGTACAACGTTTTAGTACAACGTAACAAGTATACCAACAGACCGCCCCACATCAAATCCAATTTTGGCCCCTAATGCGCTTAATGCGACCGCGAACCGAATCACTACGTATGCCACTGTCATTTTAACTCAATTTTCAAACCCACCTATAGACTATAACGGTATTAAAATAAAAATATTCGACAATAAAACATGGGTATTTAGGGTGTCAAAATTGTATAGTAAAATGCTTTTGGGGCTAGACTCAATATGAGAGCGTATGCAATAAAGTGGCTCAAAGAAATAGGTACTTAGAAATAATAAGCTGGGTGATTTGTTTCTTTATATTTTTAAGTTTTATCTTTTATTGTTCTGCAATTATTATTATTATTATTAGTTCAATATAGTTAATTTTTAGTCGATAGTGCATGTAAATTTTTAAAATAATAGGATATTATTATTATGAAATAGTAAAATTTACTAATCCTACTAATATTATAAATGCGGAAGTTTGTGAGGATGTATGGATGGTCTATACATCCGTATAGATATATAGGTGTTTGTGACTCTTTCACGCAAAAACTACTGAATAGATTTTAATGAAACTTTACAATAATATAGCTCATACATCAGAATAACACAAAGGCTACCTTTTATCCCTAAAAATTTACGGCCCGTGGGATAGATTTGTTTTATAAATCTATTGGAAACTTTTTGAGAGCTTTAGACACTTTTTTAGAGCTTTAGTAAGCTTATTATTTTCTCATAAAATATTTGTCGAGTAAAATTCCTACGTTTAAATAATAATCGAAATTCTAATTATATAAGAATTTGAATTGTCAACTTAATTCAAAGAGATTCAGTGGCAACTCATGAAGAACCAACGGCTTGTAATGCAGTTCTGCCGAAGAAAACCAGCTACTACCTAGCTCTTGTTCTTTTTTAAATATCGAGTTCCTATATTGTTTTTAACAAAATAATATTGAAAGAAACGACTTGGTAAAATACCTATGTACATATGTATGTATAATGTATATTTTATATGTATGTACATATTGTTTATTGAATTGTATATTAAATCAATTTAAAAGGCTGATGAGATCGACTTTATCTCGCCTCACATAATTTAATTAAAATTTGAGTATTCAAAATATGACATCATCCATCTACAATGCCGTATTAGATGTATTGTAAAGAGAATTACTTTGGATTATTTCTAAACGTATTATTATTTAATGAAGAGCTTGATATTAATTATTTTTACATTTTGAGTATTGTACTTTTATGAGTTACTAGTAGTAGTTTTTTTTTTAATTTGGCAAATATTATATCCAATAAAAAAAATGACATCGGTTTACCCTTTTAGGGGTAAAAAAGTAGTAAAGGTATATTTTTAGCCGTAAATCATAAGTCTATTACTTAGCGATAACCTTTTCTAGAGATTACAAGCAAATACGTTTTTATCAAATATGTTTCATTGCCAATACTTATACTATAACCTTCTTATTTTTGCCGTAAATAATGGTTACTGTAATAAACTTAATAAAAATAAAGATTTTTTTTCAACTCAATCGTTTAGTTAATATTAATGTTATACGAGTATCTAACACTAGCGACTCACGCTCGCTCCGCTCGGGTTCGTCCCTACTTACGTTTTAAGGTTTAGTATAGATTTCTCAGAAATGAGATATTTTTCGGCAGTAAAAAGTATCTTATATGTTGACCCGGATAACCAGCTACCATCATACCACATTTCATCAAAATCTCTTTAGTGTTTTTTCCGCGATGCGGTCACAGACAGACAGACAAAAAATCTAAAAAACTATAAATTCGACCTTTATGTCGATAATAATATCTATAGCAAGTTATTAAAAAAATCTTAATTCTCCAAAAAATATTTAATGTACAGATTCGACTTAGTTACAATTTTATTATATGTATTTAAAGACTCACAAGCTCGCGCAGATAAAATAAAGATAACAGGATTACATCTTAGCATCTGTCAACATGCAAATTGTAAAGGACACCTCTAAAGCATGTAATTATGCGCCG